GCAATGTATTCACAGCATGGAGGTTTGTCCCCAGAAGCATCATCTCACCTCCTCAGGCAGATATTCGCTGAAGTGAAATGTGATGTCAGAGACTGAGAGTCAAGACAAGGCTGCAATGCTTTTTATATTGTTGTGGTCTGATGACATTACGGCCTCTAGTTTCCCGGCGCGGCGCAGGGTGGCGAACCCCGCGCAGAGCTAGTTTCAAGCAGCGCAACCCGAGGCGTGCTCAGTTTGGTAGTTTGGCAGACCGAGGTGTGCTGAGATGGGTGTGGCGGCGCAGCAGGGGGAGGTGACGACAGATCCAGCTTGACGCAGTGACAGTTTTGTGCCAAAAGGCTTTGCTGAAGGTGTGCTAAAAGCTCACCAGCTGAAACCAGGTCTACTGTCAGCACAGGCGGAGCGCTGGGGGTGTAAGTGGAAGTTTGGCTTACTGGCGGACAGTGCGCACACGTCACCAAAACCTCACAGGCAGGTTTCCAGGATGTCAGGCACATTAACGATGAAATAAATAGCCACAAAAACCACTATTCAATGCAACTATCTGCAATCAGCACATAAATGTATCTCTATATTGACTGTCCCGTCACATCTGATGTCAGATCAATGGGGATTGGCACCGTTTGGCACTGTTTGGCACGTGTAATGGAAACCCAACCTGATTTGATTAACACAGCTGCAAACTAATGAGTTCACACCCCTCTCAGCCAACCACAAACAGCCACAGCATCAGATAGGGAGTATATATTCAGCATCTGTCATCTTAGAAAAGTCAAAAGAAAAGAAACAGAGTGAGACTGCGAGAGAGAAAGAGAGAGCGCGCGCGCACGAGAGAAACGCAACATTGATTTACAATTGTGGTGACCTCCTCCCAGGCTACCTTTGCATCATCAGCCCGTGGAGGTCTGCTCGCAGTTCCGTATATTCGGACACTGCGAGCTTGGACCTCCCGGACCAAAACATCAGTTTCCTCCTGGGAGAAGTTTGGCCGTCTGACGCTGCTGCTCTCTTCTGCCATGGCGAATTGAGTAAACTCTCATTACGCCTTCGCGCGGCGCATTTAAGGGCGAGGAGAGGGGCTCATTTGATTGGTGTGATGTGTGTAAAACCCACTCCACGCCTTCTCTCCTCCCTCTTTCCGACTTGCGCAGGTAGGAGGGACGGAGGTGGGAAAGAGGAGTAGCTGCGCCAGGCGCACGGTGTGCCAAACTTGCAAAATCCACCTGGCCACACCCAGTTGGCGAAGCGCAGGTGTGTTGCGCCTCCGCCGTGCCCGGTCTGCGAAACTAGAGGCCTATATGTTTGTTATGTGAACTTAGCAAGAGTAAAGAAACCCAACCTTAGTTTCTGATTCAGGAGTTTAAAATGGGTTCATCAAGGATTCAACACAATTGACCTATGGCTAAGCCCCGCTTCAGATGCGATGAGCCAATCACAGTGCGTATATCCATACACATACACTGGGGCATTCTCTGCCTGGGCGTCCATTGAAAATGGACAAACTGTGTGCATGGGGTACATACAACTCCGACACAAGGTATCCTGAGAGGCTGGGTGACGAGGTGTATTTTTTTACACTTTAAACCACATCTCAACCGAGAAAAGTGTCTCCTTTGGATAAAGTTCTGCGGTAGACCACAACATCAACTCAACATGAATAATATTAACAAGGATGTCTACATCTGTTCTAAGGTAAGTCGACATCGTGTTTGAGACAACATATTGTCACTTTGCTGGAAAGAAATATAAAGTAATCTTTAACATCTCTAGCTAACATTAGGTAAAAAGGCTGCTATCCTTTTCTCATATTCTGAGCCAGAAACTTTAACTTCAGTGGAACAATGCTGATCCTCTATCTTGTTGTCTTTGATGGTGACGGCAACAAGATGTGGTTTATCACGCTTATACTGGGACCTGTAAATTTTGGCTTGTAATGTAAGCTTTTCATCAACCTTCTCAACAATAAAATGATTAATATATCCCTCCAATGCGTAGTTTAGGCCCTTTTGGTTACTTCTCAATGACATCTGATAGTTATGTCACCAAAAATCATCAATTGCCTCCTGCGAAATACCGTGTACTGTGACACCTGCCATAGCACCGGTCACTGAATGTTGATAGTTTGTCAGAGTGAGTGTAGGGGGGCGTGGCTTAGCCATAGGTCAATTCTTAAAGGCCCAGTGTGTAAAATGAGTTGAAAACCGTTGAAAACAGTGACATCAGTGGTCAAATTCTAGATTGCAGGGCTCACTCGCTCACCCCTCCCGTCGGGTAAATGACGGTGGCCTCGTAGGGACAAAAAGCCTTGCGCACGACTTTTTCAGGAGTAGGTCTATCTAGCGACAAGGTGAATGTTTATTTAGAAATCTAAACCATGTTACGATATTGTAATGAATCCCTCACGAGCAGGAGACCAGAGGAGCGTTCGGGAAAAAGGCCCGTTTATTTGAGCACTCCAGAAACTCTGGTAACACTCCACTCCGTCCCAAACGCTGACTCTTCTAGCGTAACAGACACACTTCATAACTTTACACACATACTCGTTTACAATACTGAGTGGGGACCCCCCTCCCCTCTCTGCTCCGCCAATCTCCAGCCCGCACACTGACTGACAGCGTAGCCAGTGAACAGAGCTCAGCTGTTTATTTAGCCTAGCAATATCTCCAGATTATAGTAGCTGCAATGGGCGACTTTGAATGCGATTTTGAAGAGTTTCTTGTAGCGGACACAGACCCAGAGCCATACCTGTGGAGCATGCAGATAAGGAACTCCATGTGTTTGATGCTGAGCGGGTGAGAAGAGAGGCTGAATGCACAGAATGGGATTCGGTGCTACTGCTACCATCGTTAGGAGATATATCACCAGGAGGAAAAGGGCAGCAGAGAGTGCATCACAAGGAAGTTGCGTCTTCTTTTCCTCGCAGATGACGGTTCGGGTTCATTCTCTCCTGTTGCGTGGTAAGTGTGGTCCATTCGCAAACTTTATAACTAAAAAAACTTTTCACTACTCTCTATCGACGAACTACTAACACTCTCTGCTGTTTCTTCCTCCTTCTTCTTTCCTTCCGCAGTCTTCATTGGTTCATTTATACACACGAAACGCGTTCTCTGGCTGGCTGGATTGTCCACTCGGTCTGCCGTACATACATCGCGGCGCAAGATGGCGACCTCTCTAAAGCAAGGCCCTTGCTATATATATATATATATATATATAAAAGCATAATTGTAAGGCTACGAAAACCAAACAAATTTTATTTTATAGCGATCATACACTTGTATAAACATATTAATGGGTAGAATATTCAGATTCAGATTCAGATTGACAATAAACCATGCCAAATATTACACACTGGCCCTTTAAAGGGGAACTACCCACATTTTCAAAATGTTTTCCTGTGGTCTAAGACAGCACATAAGTAAATCTGAACGACTTTCTCCCAAATCCAATTATTAGAGTGCTAAACTCAAATTTGCGATGTCATCGGGTATTAGGTCTGGGGCTGCTCCATAGAAAACTATTTGGAGATGACAATGAGAGCACCCGGGGGAATGTTCTGAGTATATGGGTACATTTTCTGTTTCAGTACTGAGAACACTACAGCAGAATAAAGCTAATTTTGGTCCACAAAATCAGGCTCCCATTCATTGTCTATGGAGCATCTCTAGACTTTAGAGGCATAAGTGTGAAACTTACTTCTCTGGTTTCTGGCTTGGTCCTTGGTCAATTAACATATTTGAATTCTTAATTTCAGTGGTGTTCCGCTTTAACAAAGGAGGGTCTTAACTGAAATAAAGACAGAAATATTCGTATATTATTTTAATATTTACAGCTACTGTGAGATTTTCATACAGATATTAAAGGGATAGTTTGAATGTTTTTGAGGTGGGGTTGTATGGGATTCTTATCCATAGTCAGTGTAGTACATACAGTAGATGTTGGTTGGTATGTCCGCAGTTTGGAGAAGCACGCAGGAGTCTGACACAGAAGCTAATCAATGCGTTGCTGTAGATGGGGTTCATAACAAAACATATTTTACCTAAAAAAATAGTATTATTTTTAAGTGTTTGCTGCATTGAGAATTTTTTCCTCACTTTACCTTTCTGTCAGACAGCCCATTAACAGCTTCAGGTCCCCATCTATACTCTCGTCAAAGCCACCAGACTCCATTGACAAAAAAAGAAATTTTAGCTCACAAAACACGATAGCTGCTGATGTACTGCTGCTTTGATCAGTTCGTTTTTGTCATTGTGTGACTTCTGTGAATCTGAACTGACCCTGTTTCAAAGTCAAAATCACACCATAACACAAACAGACGAACTGATTGAGGCAGCAGTGGACCAGCAGCTCCTGTGTTCAGCAGTGTTCAATCACTGTTTTCTCAGTGGAGTCTGACTTTGAAGAGAGCTTTATAAATGTAATATCGTAGCGTACACTTAAACTGATTTGTTTTTTGTTGTTGTTTTTTAGGTAGGTTTTCTTTTCTTCTTTTTTTTACCGGCTAAATTATGTTATGTTGCTGACCCCTCTACAGCAGTACATTGCTTAGCTTCCATGTCAGACTCCAGTCTGCTTCTCCAAACTGGGGGCGTGCCAACTGACATCTATTGTATGTAATATATTATCTATGGATAAGTACCCCATACAACCCCACCTCAAAAAATCTGAACTATCCCTTTAAGTTTGACAAAACACTAACTTTACTTTCTTTGCTCCCTCAAGTCGACCATCTCACCAAAAAGTCCAAAAGTCCAAAAAGTCCGAAAGGATTCAGTCTGGAGTTAGAAGTTCCTGTGTAGTGACATTTGAAGAAACCTTGTTTAATCTTCACAGCTAGACCATCCCCTAGCATCACACCAATAGAAAACACCCACAGAATCAAATGTTCCATTCAACTAGCCAATCATACTGTACATTTCCTTTAATGGAAAAGTCTGCGCAGGTCGTTACATCCGGCAGTAAGACCTGTTTCATTGTCTTTCAATATCAGATCATCATCACACATGGACGGGCTGCGTATTTCTCTGGTCATTCTCCTGGGTAATGTTTTAGTACACTTGATGTATTGATAGTATTGATATTTTATTCATTCTAATTTGATAAAGAATACATGCCTACATTTTTAGCATTAATGTATTGAGCAGTAAACTGCATTTAGTGTATTATGAAATACTGTTCCACTCATTATACTTCAATTTGCTTTTGTGATTGTTTTTGTATTCCAGGAGTTGTACACTGTCGTGATGATTGGATCTCTGGATCAGAGTTGGAAGTGACAGTCACTCCAGGAGACAACATCACTCTCTACTGTGACTATAAATTATCCTCTGGAGAACTTATAGTGTGGTACAGGAACTGCTCTCATGAGAACCAGCCCTCTCTCATCCTAAAACTAAATCGTAATGCATGGAGACAGTCCACTATTACTGCCAGCCTTCTGAATCCTCTTCCTCGTTTCCACTTTGTGAGAAACTATGTATCTGACTCCTATGACCTGCTGATTGTAAATGTCACTGATTCTGATGAGGGCCTCTACTACTGTGGAAGTGAACAGAAACAAGTGGAGGACAAAGGACAAATTACTTCGAAAAACATTTACAGATATGGCACCAATACAACAAGGATCATTACAGTACTCAGTAAGTATTCTGTCTTTGTCTTAATTTTTGTTCATTGTGTCTTTTCTTTGTGTCCATTTTTAGCTGCATTGTTAGTGTTGTTATTCTTGCCAGATAAGTAAAATGAAACACAAATTTCTTTTTTGTATATATTTCTATGAGATCAGAGTTACAACAATACCCTTGCAGAGTTAACTGACATAACACTGTATGCTACCCAGACTCCACTGAGCCTTACCACCCGATTACACAAGACTGTGGTGTGTGCTGGATGCTGCTGTTCTCTCTGTGTCCAGCTCTCACTGTTATCTGCTCTGTGCTCTCCTCTCTTCTGGTTTATCACCTCTGTCGGGAAGCAGGTACCTGCTGTATATTTCACTATTATATGTCACTCAGTCCTTCTTTCTTCAGTACATTGTATTACTTTGGTGACAAGAATATCTTGTGTGTTTTGTTCTGCTTTTGAACCTTATCTGTCATTCAGTGCTTTTTTTAAGTATTGTGGAATTTGGAGTGTTGAAGTTTTTCTGATGCTTTATTCATGTTTGCAGCTGAGGAACCTAAAGCTGATAAGAAAAGACATGACACCAGAGGCCAAACAAGAGGGGAAAAGGTGATTCACAGCATTCCTTCATATGTATAGAGCTTTTTCATGGTAGACATTTTGAATTATCAGACATAACTATACCGTAGCTTACGGGAACACTTAAAGTACAGTAATTGACCCCTCCTAAGTCTCAACCCTTTTTGCTTTGTGCTTCAATAACAGTTGAGCTTGCTTGGAAGGCGGCAGAACCTGCTATATGCCGTGTGCTTGGCTCATCTGTGTTGAAAAGTTAACCAAACTTTGAAAATGGTTAAAAGGTGTTACTGGAGGACTGTCATAATCCTCACGGACATATTACACTGTATCTAGTCTCATCTTAAGTTAGTAATGTTAGCAAAACACTAGCTAGCTAATGTATAGCTACATCAAGAGGAGTTAGCCTAGATCGCCAGTGTCAGCCAGGTTTGCCTCCTTCTTATTTCTATGGTAACGTTAAAGAGATTTTGAAAAAAGACAGATAAATTGGATGCTGACATATTTTTAAGATGACATGAATTATCGTAGTCAGGTTGCCAGGCTGTATGGTTGCGCCAAAGTCACTAAAGTAACTATCTTCAGTAAAGAGAGACTAATGTTTAGGTCAGCACCATGGTCTGTAGTGATACATACATGATACAGTACTGTACTGAACACCACCAGGAGAAAAGAGAACATAGGCCTGGCAGTGCAGGAGCAATGTTGACTGATAGTCTTGACATCCCTAAGTCTCTTCTTTTCCCTTCTTTGTTGAGTCTAGGAGCCTCAGTTCCCGTTGTTTTGCCTTGTTCATAAGAGTTAACATTGTGATTATATCCTCCCATTGCATACTATAGTCCAGGGATAGTCAACTTGCTTTGCCAGGAACCGTTTTCGCCACATGACAGGTGGCTAGGGGCCAGTTGCAGAAGTCCAGCATAAGTGAGGTTTAAACAGGGGCGTTCGTAGGATTTGAGGACATCTGGGGCCCAGACCTCTGTCAGGCTTCAAGGGGATCATCCCCTGGATCCTTTTTGATAAACAAGCTATATGTTCATGTTTTTATGCACTCTGGCACCTTATTTATATCAAAAGTGCAAAAAAAAAACAATTGTGAATCAACTTATTTTTATTGTGGATTAGAAAATGGTTGGGGGGCCACATTTCACCCTGTCGTGGGCCAAATGTGGCCCACAGGCCACCAGTTGAGTATCACTGCTGTAGTCCTTGCTTGGTTACTGCAGCATTCAGCTAAATGGAACCAGCGTAGCCATTTTTCTTTTTGTCGTGCTTGTCTGACCTAGCAACAGTAACTAAGGGGCTAGAGTTTATTCAGTTGAGTCAATGTTAGAATTGATGTCATGTTTTCATGTTTATATTTTTGACCCTTTAAACTCAGCTTTACTTATTCAATAAAAGTGTTTAGTATTAACATGACAATTTTTATGTGAATATACATGTCAAATGACAGGATGAAGATGTGTGTTATGCTGCAGTGGAAATCCGCGAGACATCACAGAGACCAAAGAAGAAAACCCAGAGCTCAGACTTCACCACCTATTCTGCCATCAATGTTTGTAGGATGTAGAGAGCCTTAGAATTTATACAAATATATATAAATTGTGACATTACTTTATTAGAGTTTATATTTCTGACATTTATCTCCCTTGCAAACAAACAGCAATGAAACGTGTGTGAAATATGGGTAAGGTTTTTCTTTCAGTTGAAAAGCATTTCTTTGTTTAAAAAGGTGATAATAAACTATTTTCCCAGTGTCAGTTTTTCTCTGAGAATAATGTTATATTATTCAGGGGGGTAGAGATGGGGTAATATTTGTTATGGACAAATCACAGAAACAAACAATGATAACTACACTTTAAATGTCTTCCTTCAAGAAGTTACAGCATAATACAGAGAGACAATGAAGTTTACCTCAACCAGATTCAGTTGCCCATGTGATCAGGCCCACAGGAAACCCACAGACAAAAACAGCCCCTCATGCAGGCAGACTGAATTTGCAGATTAGTGGCCTGATGAAGGTGTTGGTGCATGGTTTCACTGTGTTCACCATTCACTTCTTGGAAATGATCACAAAGCATACAGCAAAAACACACACACGTCACACTGCATCACACCAAACACTAACAAGCCCTATGCCCTGTCTTCTAAACATTGACTTGTGATTTATCCAGGTTAATGTTATGCTAGCCAGCTAAATTGATCATGTGAGTTCTTAGCCAACCAAGCTGGTTATTATAATGCAGTTGGAGAATTAATTTGTTAATCTTGGATGTTACCTCAAATAACAAATCACATTTTGAAATAAAGGCAATGCAAGTAGAGAGCTGAGAGCACTCATATGGTTGACTGGCACAGAAAGCTTTTTTTGACAGCTGCAAAGTGGAAGTAGATTTAAAGCTGAAGTACAACCTTTAACACATTTAGGAAATCCTGCCAAAATCTCCAGTACAGCAGATTAAAGGATTAAAGACACTCTCAAACCAGAGATTCCATCATACTTTCCAGCAAAGTGAGTTCAGCAATCAATATTATCAAATATGTCTGTGAACATTCTCAGTCATCCAAGTCGTATTTATTTTTGGAGATGCTAAGTCAAAGACAAGTGGACTTGCTGTAGATTCTTTAAGATGTTTCTGTCCCCCATACATTGTATGAATCTTCACAGACATATCATTGCACATTTTGGGAATAATGGTCCGGATGTAAAACTTGCAGACTGCAGAAACCACCTGTATTTAAGTTGAGTTGAGTTGTTGAAAACACCCCTGACATTGTATGCCTGAGTCAAATGTCTCCAGCAAAGAGGAAGACCTTGTGGAGTTGTGGCCCCAGAAGCTTTGCCTATATGGTGCGTCCTCCAGCTCTTACCTTGATCACGTCAAGAAGGATGAAGCATGGAAGGAAGTAGCTGCCAGGTGAGCAACCTAGCAGCTAGCAAACACGCATACACACAAACACACTTCAGTATATAGCGCCCACAAAATGGTAGGTTATTTAATAATGTGACCCTCTATGTTGTGCTTCACAGTTGGAGAAGTAATAATCTGTGCAACATCTTTGCGCACTCAGTATGGGAAGCTATTATACTCCATAGCCTGCGATTCAGTAAGCGCTGTCATCATACAGTCTGTATACATCAAACTTGATGTTGTACCCAAGGTTGTTAGATCCATGAGGCACAGTGGAGCTTGCACTAAACTTACTAAAATCTAAAAAAAATGGTGAAATCTCACATCCTGTAAGAGGCTTTAGGAAAAGCTAAGAGCTAGATAAGAAAAGTCAGATACTCCAGACAGTTACATCACATTTTCCCAGTGCAGTTCTGGAGAGAGTTTTTCTGATTTCATAATAAAGCCACAGTCATCCCAATACACCATGGACATAAAGATGAACTCTCAAGTTTAAAATTATTGTATCACAAGCAGTAAGAAAGGGAGCTTACCCAACCAGAGAAAGATGTCTTAACCAGGGTTTAAATTTTGTCACAGCAAATTTGGCAGTGATAGATTTACCGCTCAACACAGAATCACCCATCAACCATCTTGCTGGCTCCCCGAGGCAAACTTGTGTTTACTATGATAGAGGAGGCATGACCAACCCTACCTTTTCTACTTTCATGTCTTTTTTTGTTGTGTTGGTAAGGTTTAGGCATGAGGAGTGAGATTGTTAAAGGGATAGTGCACCCAAAAATGAAAATTCAACCATTATCTACTCACCCATATGCCAACGGAGGCCCTGGTGAAGTTTTAGAGTCCTCACATCCCTTGCGGAGATCGGCGGGGGGAGCGGCCAGCACACCTAATGGCAGACGGCGCCCCAGACTAACGTCCAAGAGCACAAAATTGAATCCACAAAGTATCTCCATACTGCTCATCCGTAGTGATCCAAGTGTGCTGCAGCCCCGACATAAAAAGTTGTTTTGAAAAACGTCATATGAACTCTGTTTTTAGCCTCACTGTAGCCTGTAGCTCTGACATAAACTATGAACCAAAAAAGCACAATCTATCCTGAGTGAGACAAACTGCTTGATCCCCGTCTCCAGTGTACCAGCAGAGAACCTGCAGAACCGAATCAGCGAAAAAACACACCGGGCTACACAGCCTCTCTACCTGAGCAGCTGAAGCTGCAGCTCGCACCCTCGACACACAGACACACAGACGGTGCTTCTGCATGCCAGCCAAACGTGTGCGCACCTGTGAGAAATAAATATGTGAGGTGTGCGCTGCTTTTCTATCTTTTTTTCCCTTTTCTTTCTTTCTTTCTGTCAGCGACATAGACTTTATAAACATCAGATTAGTCTAAACGGTGATATAGTGACGTGAAAAATGTGATATATACATATATATAGCTAAACTCAACTCAAGGTAGCTAAACTCAACTCAAGGTAAACAACAAGGCGATTCCCATTTACACAGTGGTAAGAGTGCTGGACCGGAAGTGTCGCACAAAAAAACGGAAGCTGGCTGCGTTCTGTTTTGCCTCCGTGTTTCCGTGAAAAATAAGGTGGATAGAGGCTTAACTTCTCACCTTGCTGCAATTTACTACCGAGCAAGAGACAGGGAAAAAAGTTCATACATAGCTAACATTACCATCGTCTGGTTGCTTGTTAGCTAGCTAGCTAGCTAGCTCGCTCGCAGTATCTGGCTCTGTCATCTGTCCTGTTCTGCAGAATTGTCGGACTTTTCACATTACCATAACACGGCAGCTAGTATAACTATGCTGCCTCGTAATGTTAGCTGGTTAGCTAGCTAGCAGAAGTCGTCTGTCGTTCATCAAATGAAGCATGATGAATGCTGCAAACACAATTGTTAGGATGAATGAGACTCCATTGTAGATGCCGGTTGGAAATGTAAATGGCTCGCAGCTTCCTGTATAAAATAGTTACATAAAAAAGTTACATATGCATGAATGTAACCAACGCAGTGACGTAGTGAGTGGTGTCCCAATTCCTAGGGAAAAATTTCTACCCCTACCCCTCGTTGCTTCACTTTGAGGGCCAAGGGGTAGTGGGCGAGGGCTAGGGGAAGGGCCAAGGGCTAAGGGGTAGTGTACAAGGGGGGGTATTGGGATTGGGCCTTTCTCTTTAAACACCACCTACTTCAGTAAAACCAATGGTTTCTACAGACAGAACAACTGCTGCGTTGTGTGGCTGACCTTTGCATGGCTGAAATCTGCAGCACAGCACTGAGAGCTTCTTCAGTGACACACCATGTCGCCATTGGTTTAGATTGTGGATGGCACTTGGGTCAAAAATATCAGATTCACATGAGAAGACTTCAAAGACAATAGACTAGCTTTCTCAGACTGAGCAATGCACATCAAAGAGGACGGAAGCCTTGATACCGCAGCTTACAGGAAACCCACTCGCAACTTTTAATATTAACTTTAAGGCTCTCATAACCCAAGAGAACACAAGCAGCGGTTGTCATAGCCCTTCATCACAGGGCCAAGAATGTGCCTACAAGTACTGAGGCACATCACAAAGAGAGCTAAGACAGTACAACAGCTCTAAAAGCTTGCGGCTACCAAAACTCTGCACCACACTGAGAAAAAGTTTGTCCACCATCAAGACCATTCACCCAAACATAAGCTGAGCAAAGTAATACACACAGTCCAGTGCAGAGAGAGTTGTACAGACCTATATCACGTTGGGAGGATGAAACAACTGCTGAGCAAAAGCATGGTGCAATATAGGAGGGCCAGCTCTTCACATCAATACCCAGCAGTCTACATACATCTGAAGAGCAAGGGTCATTCCTTTGAGGAAAGCAATGTGTTCACACTCATTGGACAGTGAACACATGTGGATTGAAAGAGGTGTGAAGGGGGGCATCTATGTCAATCTGGAACAAAGGTTTTCAAACTAAGCGTAAAGCGTTTAAATAGTAGCTTCACATCACAGTCAACAATGAATGGTGCAGGGAAATATTTTACTCACTGCTGAATCAAAAGAAGAAAGACAGCAGACATTCATTACCACATCACTGTGTTCTTTTGAGTTGACTGTCCACGCTTTGTCAAAAAACAGTGCATAACAATTACCTTGCAGAAAATACGTTTGTTGTTGTTGACTGCAATTTGTTGCCATTTCTTACTAATTTTTGTCTGTCAGCTTAATTCCTCCATAGTTTTGTTTAATTTTGTTACAACTTGAAATTTGTGTATGTGCTTTTATTTTCAATTCTCACTTCTTTCAGAAACATCAAGGATATTCAAAAGAACTGAAAATGAAAATGTTGCTGGGACAAACAGAAGAGGGTGGAGAGATCATGATGGTGTAAGCTCTGAACAATCAGACTCACTAGCTGGTAACATCTCTCCTGACCTCTAGTGGAGTTTATAATTAAAGACCCAAAAACACTATGCAAAAAAATTTGAACCCAAGCAGTCAGAGATAAATTCTATTATGCCATGCTGCATCTAAATTCAGTATCATTTGTACCTAATATTATGACCAAGAACTATGTGTCAGTATAACTTCCTATTAGCCCATCCCATCCTTGGTGCAACAAAATGACAAGGCCAGATAAAATATGAAATATCTCAACAACATGGATTGGCATGACATGTAGCACCATTCATGGTGCTCTGAGGATGAACCCCACAGACATTGGTGATTCCCTGAGCTTTCTACCAGCACCACCAGCAAGAAGACCATTTTGCATTTTAGTGAAATCACTTTGCTTTACACTCAGATGCCATGATATCCTTCCTTTTTGCCCACCTATTCAAGTCAGCATTTTGAGTTGCAATATTTTATTTTCCAGTGTCAAAGCTGAGAAAACTCAAAATGTGTCTTGCTCACTAATAAACACACAATGTTTAGGCATTTTTGTTTAAAGTGTCATAACAACAAAACACAGTTCGTTGTTGACTGGAATCACTGACGGTTAAAGGGTTAAAATGTAGAATAAAATAAAGTTACCCACAGAGGTATTTTTGAAGAAGCCAGAAACACCTGCCCCAAGTGATACACACAGATTCCACAAATCCACATATAAGAGAGTCAGTGCCCAAAGAAATGTGATGGCTGCACCTGCCAGATAACTGATTCAAATGTTGGTAAACATTTTCTTAATAATTTATGATATACACTAACAGTTCATCTTATCTTACTATATAATGACGAAAACTCTGTCTGTGTGTGTGTGTGTGTCTGTCTGTGTGTCTGTTCCACGTTTTTCTCCTCACTGACTTGGTCAATCCATGTGAAATTTGGTACAGTGGTAGAGGGTCATGGGAGGATGCGAATGAAGCAATATTACATCAATTGGCCAAAGGGGGTCGCTATAGCAACTGATTGAAATTGCAAACTTTGAATGGGCATATCTCATGCCCCGTATGTTGTAGAGACATGAAACTTTGCACAGAGATGCCTCTCCTCATGAGGAACAAATTTGCCTCAAGAACCCATAACTTCCAGTTATATAGATTTTCTGCCATTTTGAATTTTTTGAAAAACACTCCATCTCTACCAAGTTTGACCGATCTGCATGAAACTCGGTGAACATAATCTAGAGACCAATATCTAAAGTTCCCTCTTGGCAAAAGTTGGAAAACTTACTAAAACTGAGCTTCTACAAGGCAATGAATATTGCGGAGGGCATGGCTCATCACATAAAGGTGTATAACATCTCAAGGGTTTCACCGATCACCACGCAACTTTGTAGGCATATGACCACACATAATCTGAGGGGACCCCTCCATTATTGACCCCATCAAACAAAATGGGGGTGCTAGAGAGCTAATTTCTTATCTAGGCCGAACCGCCATATCGATTTTTACTAAACTTGGCAGATATGTAGAACAGGACGCCTTTTTTTGCCTAAAATTGACAGGACAGTGAAGCATGACAGGAAGGATGGGAGAGAGAGAGAGAGCAAGGAAGACATGCAGCAAAGAACGAAGGCCGGATTCCAACCCTCACCGCTGCAACAATGGCTAGCCGCACCTTTCCCATGTGAACTACCAGTGCGCCCCACTTTTAAGTCAATACAACATATAAACACTTTAACTAACTACTAATGTACAGTTTTAGCCCACTTACTATCCCACTATTGGCAATGGTACCACTGTACTTTCAATAAAGCAATTGTACTATCAAATTCACAAAAACTCTGTCTGAATACATTGCTCTTCTTAATGGGTTCAGTTGACTATTTAATCTGCAATTTCCTATGACCTGTATCCCAAACACACACCGTGTGAAACTGTACGTGGGCAACTGTGCGCTCAATGGGTATGGACTAGTTTTCTCTTAATTTAGACCCAGTTTGTTGACCTTTTGACCTTATACACAATGCATTCATATTGCACATCGGCTGACATAAATGATGCCTGAAGTGATTCTAATTTCTTTTCTTTTTTAGTTACTTTTTAGTTACTTTTTAAGATTTTATTCATAATTCCAAATATGTACAATTTACATCATATATACATCGAACATCAACAAAACACACACAATCCTAACAACCAAACAAACAACAATATATGACAACACACATTTACCTACAAAAAAGCTCAGCCTCAGCATCTTCATATCTGATAATCTTTAGATAAAGTAAGTGAAACTCTATTAATACATTTCATCTTTATTGAGTACATATTTATTTTCTGTTCTTTTATCTTTTAATGATTGAAACTTCAACAACATGATTACAGCCTTTAGATTCTGACCACTTTATTATCATGTTCCATGATACAAACAAACCTACTGGTGTATTCTAACGTGAGAGTTGTGGGGATTGGGAACTTCTGTCCATCTGGTTATCACAAGAGCAGCACTCTCTCTTTTAAAACAGCTGCTACTAAAAACTAGTCCTGGTCCATCTTTCAGAAGGGCAACAGGCTTCATAGTAACAAGAAAATGAAAATTTACAGTCTAAAAACATTACATTTACACAGTGGACTCTGTATTTGAAGTGTTCTGTCAGATTCTGAGACAATGCCATCCCATACTATTGCCTAATTGGGGGATTGTCTACTTCTGCTACATATGCATCAGAAACTCTATATATATAATAACCCTGACCCAAAATATACTTTGTGTTCTACAAAAGCACTACTGCAGGTATTGTTGGGCTGTTAACACCTCCAGAGATCAAGTAGGAAACGTCAAAGCCCACCCATCTTTACACCAATAGAAAACAACCACAGAATTAAAAAAACACACACTTGACTGGCCCAACACTTCTTATAGGCTACTTCCTTTAATAGAAAAGTCTGCATACAGTGTGATATCTGTGAGTAAGACCTGTTTTGCTGTCTCTTACCTCTCTCTCATCATTACACATGGACGGGCTACACGTTTTTCTCCTCATTCTCTTAGGTAATTATTTTCACAAAAAATTTAAATGATTTAATCACAATGGTTATGTTCCATTATGAGAACAGTTCCTTTATGGTCTTATTGTTGTTGTGTTGAGCAGGAACCTGAACCTGTTGTAATGTATTTTACAACTGTTTGTATTCCAGGAGCTGTTTCTTGCAGTCATGATTCAGTTTCTGGATCAGTGTTAGAGGTGACAGTCAGACCAGGAGACAACATCACTCTCTACTGTGACTGCAAATTATCATCTGGAGTATACATAGTGTGGTACAGGAACTGCTCTCATGAGAATCAGCCTCCTCTTGTCCTTAAAACAAAACACCCTTCAAAGATGGTCAACACCGAAGATGACCCTCTGAAGATTCTGCCTCGTTTTCAGTTTGTGAGAAACTTTTCTTCTGCATCCTATGACCTGCTGATCATGAACATCACTCACTCTGATGAGGGTCTCTACTACTATGGAACTGAACAGACCAAGGTGGAGGATAAAGAATTCATTACAACCAAAACTATTTACAGATATGGCAACATCACAACAAGGATCATATTCAGTAAGCATTCAGGCCTGACTTTTTTTTAATGTTAATTTACAGAATGCAGTGACTTTAGCAATTTACAGCAAACAAAAATGTGCTTTTTCTATTATATCAAAGTTTGTGAGTGATCATGAAGTTAAGTCCAGTATGCAAACTTGCTCAAGTTGATTCCAGAGTTAAGCAGCCACTAATCTGAAATTACGTAGGCTACATGAGGTTACAAGGAATTCCTTCCAATTACAAGGGAACCTCATGGGTTTAAAGGCTTGTAAGTTATTCTTAAAGTTCAACAGGTTATCTTTGTATACTGTGCATCCTGAGTCTTTGGAAAAAAATTGCCTTTAAGAAACCAAAAGTTACAAATGGAATAAAAAGTGTTACAGATTTTGCGTCGCTGATGTAAAATCAATCCCTAAGTAACAATGTTCAGCAATAGACATACTGCTTGTATACTGACTAAATTGAAAGATGGGTCTAAGATGGAAAATGTCAATTATCGAGGAAGATGTAAGTCAAGCATCTTAACATGACACCGATATATTTATGATGTTTTCCTGATGGTAGAAAAAGAAGCCCAACCAAAGAGAAAAACAGCAACAACTAAAAAATATGAAGATGTAATCCACATTTGTAATTTTGTTCCAGATTCCAACTCTGACTGCAGTGGGTGCATCTCAGATCATGTACTTGTTGTGCCCTGGATGATGGTTTTCGCTCCAGCCCTCACTATTCTCTCCTCCTTCATCATCTTTGTTTTTGTTTATCACTTCTGTCAGAAAACAGGTACCTACTGTTATCTTACAAGTTTCCTTACTTTTGTTTCAAAACAGAACATGTCAGATCAATTATTTATACAATAAAGGAACCTCCCATTAGACTACTATTTTTTGGATGTGTAGTTGGGTGCTGCTTTGTAATGATGCTGTATTCATTTTTGCAGATAACAAACCTCAAATTCTTCAGAGAGGACCTGACACCAGAGGACAGAAAAGATGGGATCAGGTAATAAACAGGAGGAATTTGGGAATTTCTACATAAGTCTTTATCAGCATCTCACACTCGAACAGCTACCTTGTCATCTTTGTAGTTGTGTTAATGCATTGCAGTCACAACGGTTTAGACAGAACAGTTGATGCTACAACTTTGCAATAAATAGCAAATGCGAAATTGTCTCTCAGGGTGAAGATGTGTTTTTCACACGAGTTGTGTTCCGGGCCAAGGATGGACAAACACACCAATAGAGAGAGGACGGACAGAACCAGCACATTTGTTTTATTCAAGAGGAAACCAAATAGAGCAAAATGAGCTCCACTTCAAACGTGTCAGATTCAGGTCCGCAGTTTAAGGTGTCATATCCTCGGGGCGTTGGTGGCTTGGTGGTAGAGCAGGCGACCCATGTACAGGGCCATTGCCGCAGCGGCCCAGGTTTGACTCCAGCCTGTGGCCCTTTGCTGCATGTCTCTCCCTCTCCCTCTCTCTCCCCTTTTCACACTTCAGTATACTATGAATTAAAGGCAAAAAATGCCCATAAAAATATCTTTAAAAAAAAAGGTGTCATATCCTCTTGTGTTTCCAGCCCAGTCGCCTGGAGAAAATGTTGGCAGTACGTTTCTGAAAACCAACAATATGTTACGTTTGCACGTTTTTTATCATGTCACATTTCTAAAGTGACATCAGGGCTGCTGCTAGCCATTTGGGTGCCCAAAGCGTAATTGCTATGTTGTGCCCTAAACTGTACAAACTGTGCATATATGTTCCACTACAGCAGATCTATAACACAGGCATTTTTCATCAGTTGAGGGAGGCTCTACAGAGGCATGCATGTCTGCATTACCTGCCTACAAGGTCGTTAATAAGTCATCATATGACAGCTTCTGAGTTCTGAATTGATACTGATGACAGTAAGTCCAATTAAACGGTCCTGTGCCATTGCTGAATGCATGTATGTGCTGATGAGCATACATTTTGAAAAACTTCACTCAGCAAAGGCAACTGACTGTATTTATAACCTTATTAATAACCTAAAAGCGCAAGCGCACTACTCGGCAAGCTTGCGCTGCCACTGCATTTCCTTCTGGGACAGTGCCACAAAAAGCTGTGTTTCTAGTGGGGATTGTGCCACCAAAAGCAAAAACATGTTTTTTTTTTCCTATGCATAATTAAATGGGTTTTTTTTTTTGACTAAACATAAGCACATGTAAACCACAACATTTTTGAAATGTAAAGTTTCAACGAATCTGCTACAAATGTAGTATCTGTGGTTTGCAGAAACGTACAATGGCAACATTTATTCTGGTGATTGGGTTCTGCTTTTCTGTTCAGTTCAGTACATCCTGTGGTTTAAGACACTGCTGAACCAATTGAGCCAGCGCATGATTTGTCACCAATCTCTTACAAATCCACCAAACAACTGTCTTTTTTTTCTTTACTTCACATTTTCATAACCTGTTTTAAATGTGCTTTTTGTCATCATGTTATCATTTCATCTGATTTAAACCTTCATTTTATTTGTTTTTAAGTTAACATTGAGTATTAAGAATTAGTTGTCGGCACGTATTGTATACAGTTTTACAGAGTATATATTTTATGGAGAATTTTAACTGTGGTTGCTTCTTTGCTTGTCATTGTTATTACATTTAAAAACCATGTACTTGCTGAATTCTCATTTATAAGCTGTATTTCAATAAAAACAAAATATTTTCAAAGGCAATATTATATTTCAGTTTGTTTTAGCATGTGAAATAGTAATACAGATATGTCCATTCTTTTTGAAATAATGAATATCAGAAATGATCTCATTGTAATAAATTGAAATGAAAGCAAGATGAAAATTCCAGTATTCCAGAAAGCAGTAAATACTGTCATACTGATTAATGTTATACTGTAATATACATAACAGGCTATATATGATCTTTTTGATTGGCCCTTTTACTATAACTCTCATTGTGTGTTATATATATTATTATTTACCATCTGTATATTATATAAAACTTTTTAAAAAAATAGTTTTTAGATATTGTTTTTTTTATTTAGTGGTACAGTATAATTCAAATATTAATAAAAAAGTAGCATTATACATGAGCCTATGATATAATGAAATAAAATAAAATATAATATATATCTTATTTTATAATTGTTTAATGTGGTTATCTTAAAGTGATTATTCTAGTTGAATTTATTTGGGACCATGTACACAGGCAATGAGATGAGAGCATGCTGCTATGCGGTCACTTTTTTTTTTTCAATGGTGCAGTTCAGCCACTGAACAACACTGTAAAAACCCACAGCATGTCAGGAGAAAAAAAAATAAAATGAAAAACTTCATAGACGATTACTCTCAAAGCCAACGCTGTAAATAATGATGCAGGTGAATGCCTTATTTACCTACTGATGAAATTAGACAGCAGACATTAGATATCTGCCCAAATTTATTGCGGATTGATTGCCTCCAATGTTAGTGCCTTGGTCATTTTTGAAAAAAGTTACAACATACAGACTATGCAATGAAGTTAACCTCAACCACATTTTGAAGACCATGTGACCAGTAAAGCTTAACAGGAAACCCACAGTAACAAACAGCTTGACTGCAGAGCTCATCATGCAGACAGACTGAAACTGCAGATAAGTGGCCTGCTGAAAGTGTATGTAACTCAATGAAATGTATAATAGATACTGAGGACACAGATTGTGTGTTTAGATAAATATACTTGACACACCCCTGGGGATAGTCTCCGTAGCAGATTATAACAATGGCTGCATTTCCTCCGCTGACTTGAAGTTCATGGTTTTGGTCAAAAACATATTTTTGTTTTTGTATCAGGCAGTCTTAGAGAGGCTTATATGGCATCACAGCTTGGTTTGGGAACCTCTCTGTGCAGCTAAAGTCCAAAATGCTCCAACTGATGCATATTGCATGTAAGACTATAGGGGTCAAACAGGCAACACTAAGGAAAGCTAATAGGATAGTAGTGACCCATCCTGTGTTCTACAACACAAGTAGCACCTACTGTTCTCTGGTAAGAGGTTCAGAGTCCCTTGTAGCAGATTAAAAAGATGTAAAAAGCCCTTTATCTCTGTGTCAATGAAACCTCTAAATAATGGCAGATATTGAAGCCGTTTAAGGGATTTTAGGGGAGTAGGGTTTCCTTTTTTTATGATTATTGCTGATGTGTTTGCTGTTTCTGCTTGCCTTGAGGTTTTTAGAAGCTTGCTACTTTTATTTATTAAATTTTGTTACTTTGTATGTATGTTTTTTTTTGGAATGTTCTGTGGAATGTTGTCTTTATGGCTGCAGCATGACAGCAGACAAATTTCAACTTTGTGGGACAATAGAGATAACCTTGAAATCAGTTTACTGGAGGAAATGTTGTTAACTGCTGGCTACTCTCCTGACCTCTAGTGGAGATGATGAGTAAAAACCAAACCAAAGAGGTCACCAGAAGAGGTTTGGCCCTGAGCAGTTCAAACTACTGTGTTTATTTCTAAATTCACTCTGGCTGCTTGTATATTCAGATTTTCTGTCCTTCATTTGGCTAACTGTGTTAAATGTTTTATGGTGATTTTAATGTATTGTATTACGCCAACAATAACAATACATCCATGCTGGCAATGTTTAGGCTCTTTATTGCAGAACATTGCACAGCATTTCCTAATTAAATCTCCTTGTTTATTTCCTCTATCATCACTTGTTAATAAATCACCAGATAACAACAGTCTGACATCTTACATTCATATTACAATTAAGTCTTGTTCTTGTCTAAGACAAGGAAAAACAAGCAAACAAACAAGCAACGAAGCAAACAAACAAAAAAATAAAAAAACTTATTCAATGAGCAATTTTCAGATCAATTAAAAGAAATTTCTTATTTTTCCAATTCATTTTTAATAAACTCAAGATCCTGATTTGCATGTAAACAAGAAAATAAACATAAAATCAGTAACACAAGCATTCAAAAATATGCATTTAAATGTGCTCATAAAAAAAAAACAGCTAGAAAGCAAACTGTTCGTGAGCATTTGGCAAAACAAAGCAGAACATTTTCAATTACACGTGGGTTGTCCCAGGCCAATCCACAGGATCAGGATCAGGACAGGTGCTTTCTGAAATGGGTCAGTATTGGCTATGTTAAGGGTGACCCATTTTCAAGAGCAGAAAAGTAGTCAGCAATTTCAGTTATGACTTGTGCATCAGAGGACAGTGTCATTAAAAAAAAAGTTACTTTGTGTCAGCAACATTTTGCAGGGGTACCACACCTTAAAAGTGCTGATGTTGACTGAAAATGGCATTTGAACTTAACTGGAGGTTTAAAGAAAGAAAAGAGGCTGTCTAAACCTGAAACAACAGATCAACACTGACACACCTCTTTCCATAAATACACAAAATATTATTGGACAATCTATACAAAATCTGATATGAAAGCAATAAAGGGATTTCTCTTTCTTGTTATAATATCAAGTTATTCTTCGCATTGGGCTACATTTCCCCAGCCCAGACCTATTCAGCTGTCAAACATATTTAAGACCCCTGATAACTTGTTTCAAATCTTATGTAAATCCTGAGTAACAATAAATAGTCAACAATAAATAAGCAAAATTCAAATGTAAAGTTAAGAGATGACCATCCTTAGATATTATTTATTCAGAGTCCAAACCTAAAAAACTCACCTAATCTGCTTCATTAGAACAGTATCGGTGGGGTTTAATAATCTGAAAATCGAATCATCCCCCAGGTATGACCAGATTCTGATTTAAACATGATTATGTCCTGATTAGTGCATGGAAATATGTTACATCACATTATTCCAACTTAGACTCTCCCACTTCAAACATGTGAGAAGAACATGAAGACAAAAACACATATAGAAATCAGCTTTGATCGGGACATTATTTAATTAAACTACATTTTTGCATAGAACTAAAATGCATTGATTTTCTTCAGCATAAAATGTCTTCAATCGAGGTTTAACGTGAATTCAAGCATTGCCTCTGTTACACAGAAGAGCAGCGTCAGTTTAAACATCATTCAATCCTTCAACCATAGGCAAACCCTCAAAAAATATGCATCTAAAATAATATATGGCATCAACCATATGTCTACATAAGACTTAAAACAGAAAAGAAAACAGATGAGATATCTTCAGTGAGGTTCTGAAACTCTACTTTCTGATTCAATAAAAAAAATAATAATAATAAAGAAAGACTTAAAGAAACCATTCTAAGCTGATCGTCAGAGTTTCTGAAGACCACTTTGAATCTTCTCTGGAGTTGACTCATTTTTCTTTTTAAAAAGATTTTTCAGCCTTAAGGATTTCTTGTTCTTTTCCTTGTGCTTGTTCTTCTCATCTCCATTCTCAGAGGATGATGCTGGAGATGAGATGGCAGCCCTTGGTGGTGGCACTGGTGGCTCTGTCTCTGCTGGCAGCCTGCCCTGGGGTAAGCTGGGTGTTGAGGAAGAGAGACTGGTTGGGGTAATGGCCATGGAGTTACAGGACTTCTCAAGGATTCCATCATACACAAGCTGGCTCAATGGGCCAGTGTAAAGGTCTGACGAGGACTTCCATGGTACCTGGGACGTTACCATAAGGTCTGGCTGTCCAATTCGACCTAGAGATTGACTTGATTCAGATACTCCCATCTCTTCCCTCAGTACTGATTGTTCAGGAATTTCCATTGGAACATCAACTCTATCCCAGGAGATTTTACCTGTGGGAGTGTCTATGGAAGTGTCTAGGTCATCTCTTGGCATTCTTAGTATTCTCCTTCTGAGAGAACCAGCGGACATCTCGAGTTCTTCTCTCAGTATGCTCCTACTTGATGGTTCCAAACCAAACTCTTTCTTCTCTGCAGAGGACGAGCTATCCATTAGTCCTTCAAATCTCTCTCTGGGTAGCATCTTTATGGAAGCAGTATCTGCACAATACTCTAGTTCATCTCTGGATATCTTTCTTGGTGGTGTTCTAGCTGCTTCAACCATTTTGTCCTTTGCTAACACCCTCACAGAAGAATCAAGCTGGCATTCTCCTTTGTTCCGTGGAAGCATTCTAGACGCTGTGTCTAAGGACGTTCCCACTGAATCTTTTGTAATCCTTCTGGATACTGAGTCATACTGACGCTCAACATCATCTCGTGTTATCCTTCTTGAAGCACTGTCAATTGAAGCCCCCATCATATCTCTTGGCATCTTCCTATATGTCACATCTGTTGTTGCATCTAAATCATTCCAAATCAGCTTTCTCACATCCAGAGGTAAATCACCTCTTTCTCGGTATACATTCTTTGAAGTAGTGTCCATCAAATCCCCCTTTGTATCTCTCTCTACTTTCCGGCTGAGGAATTCTACATCCAGCTCACTGGATAGCTCCTTTCTAACTGCAACATCCATGGGAACTTCACTCCTGTCTCTGGATATCTTCCTTGATGTAGCTTCAATCAAAGACTCATTTTTGGATGTCCTCAAAGAGGGGACTTCCAAAGAAGTATCCAACACTGTGTCTTTTGGCACCTTTCTGCATGAAACATCTGCAGAAGCTTCAAGCTCTTCTACAGAAACTTTGCGAACTGGAGATTCAACAACAGCTTCTACTTCTGTACTAAAAGGATTTGTGATGGAGCTGTCTGAAAGTAGTTCAGTTTCATCATGATAGAGCTTTTGAGAGGGAGTGTCAACACTGGGACTAGGGAACATCTTGCTTAGAGGAGGTGAGGCCATATATTCTGTGTCTGTGAACCTCTCTTGGGAGTCTCTGTTGTTGAGAGAAAAGAAGGGGAAAATAAGGGAAAGAAAAGACAAGGAAGGAAAGAAGGAAGGAGTCAGGAAATAAAAGCGTTGCTAATACCTAATGGTTTAACATTAGCTGTGTGTTAAAACAGATTGGCCTCTAAATGTTAAGGGCAAGAACACGTACTGTTTCTTTAGAGTTTTCATAAGGAGTCCCTCTTCCTCATGAGGGTATGGGGCTCGGATGGGGATAAGAAGGTCAGGGTCTGGGGAGATCATAGTGGTTGGTGGTTGAGTTATCACACCGGGACGACGTGATCGACATATGGTGGATCCTCGGGTTCGAGGAGAGCGCTTCAGTGGTGGAACTGGAACTGGTGGAAAGCCAAAGACAAACCAATCACTGAAACTGATCATTAACATATGACTGTGATTTACCAATGAATATGTACCTCTACTTTATGACCTTAAACTAGTACAGCAAGGTTTGTCCATACATCTTTGTTAGTTCGGTGGCCGACGGGAAAATAAGTTCACACATTTTTTTTTTAAATCATGTATTTGTACCATTGACTCCTGGTTCATAATTATGTGCAAATCATGTCAATTGTGAAGCAGTTTATCTACAGCGTTTAGATTGATTTGCTAAATTTGCAGCATTGAATTGACTGATACCATACCCTCCCAAGAGGCTGTGTCCTCATATGAGGCCATCGCATTTTGGGTTTACTTGATCTTAGACTTAATTCTACTTAACTTAATCCTATTGTCCTCGTTCATGGACACTTTTTGTGCCATCTAGTGGTAGTAAGAGCACAATACACTAATCCATGTAAAAACAAAATGTCAGCCATCTCTGCCAAGTCAGTCTGATCCCGACACAAAAATGGACAAGGTCCAAAACCTGATCACATTTTATAGTTGAAACTTGTTTATTTGTGATTAACAATGTTTGTAGTTTGATATGGCAACACATTTGACCAATTTTAGCAACAGTAACAAACTAAGACACTGTTAATTTGGAAGTACTCGTGTGAAGACATTGGAACTTTACTATCGTCTCTTTGAGGACAAAGGGACCTAATTATCATTGACAATATTTCGTTTTTTTTATATTTGTTAGCTAAAATAAATTAAAAATGTATACCAAACCAGAGTTTGGGTCTCAGGAGGATATAGCATATACATACAGATGGGTGCCAAATTAACAGAACATGAGGGATCATGGCCTCAGCAGTCAACAGATCTGAACACTGGACACTATTGTAGATCCAAATTAAGTATCAAAAAGTTATCATTCCTGTGATTTACCTGGCATCTGTGGTAAGATTGGAGACTCTTCTAACAGATCCTCTATAGATCCATGGATGGAGCTATGGCATGAGCAAGATGGCTGAGGCACTCTGGGAACTCCAAGGGGAATTGAGTCCGAGTAGAGCTGAGCAGTGAGGTTTGATAGGCCAGGATTCCTAATAATGGGGAAGCCACAGATGCGCTCGATCTGCTGCCAGCGATGAAGGCGCTCCCGCAGGCAGGCTGTCACTTCAGACAAGGCATTCCTTTGGAAGATACAAATACCTTTGTGACATGTGTTACATATTCACTGTGACAGACAAAAACAAAACTTGCATACGCTCTTTTGCGACTCACTTTGCCTCCAGGATCTTGTGGTCAACTTGGTCGAGAGAGGAGCTGTGGGCGACATGGAGCGTGCCAAACACAGAACTCCTTTTCTTCTTAATCCTCTCTGCCTGTAAGGAAGTATAGGTGCAGGTAAGTTGATAGGTATCTAGGCAAGTTGTTGGATATTATAAAAATGTAGCCCTTTACATTTTTTGCAATTACATGCTTACATATCTAATGCAGTCGATCTAAATATTACTTATGTGTTTTTCATGTACGTCCCCCTTTATCATGCATTACCTCTTCCTTGGCAGTGGCAAGCTGTAGTTCTGCGCTATGCTTCTTGACATTGTAGTACTGGACCTCCACCTCATGTGTCAGCTGCAACCATAGCTGGAGGGCCTCTGAGGCCGTCCAGCTAGCCTGCATGTCCTTCTCTGCCTGCTTCAGTGCTCCACGCACCTGAGAAGGATGGCATCAGTCAAATGTTAGAGATAAGTATGTAGAAAAACTGTTAGAAACTGCGCTCAAACTTTCCAAACTATTGCAAGTAGCATCTAGTGCAGCATTCCACCAGTGGTGTGTCTACCTGCTCCAGCTCTTCCTCTGCATATCGGAGGCGGCTGAGCTCACTGACAGCTCCCTGCCTCAGCTCATGCAGTCGGTAAGCCTCCTCCTGCGCCCCCATGATCTCATCCCTCATCTTCTCCTCCAGGCTCTGTTTCTCCTCAGCGACATTACGTTTTTCTTCCTGTGCTCGCTCCAGTCTGAGAAAGTGAAATTTTTTAGTACAATCAAACAAAGCAAAGTCAACTCCATGATGTACAGTAAGTGAGAGAGACTGGTAACGGAATACTCACTGTTCCTGCAGATCTATGAGGCTCTGTTCAGCCCTCTGCAGACTTTCCAAATCTTTCATCATCCTGGCTATGTGGATTTTACTGACTTTGTTTTGGGCCTGAGCAAACCAGCAGCCTCCAACTCCCATCACCACAGATACAATGAGCAGCAGATCCTTCATGTAGTTATGAGGGGGACCTATGGTGAAACAGAAGGCGATTGATAATTATTAATGGTGGATGGATGAAAAATGTGTCACAGATGATGAGATAATAGACTGAACGTGACACATAAAGCTAGAAACACCAAGTAAGCCCAAAACACCTTGAAAAACATGCCAAACTAGAATCTCTCATATTTCTATTGACAAAAAATGTTTTAGCCCATTTAAGGGCAGTACACATGCCATGTTTTTCCAACCCATTGTTTATCCAATATCCACTATCCATTGTTTTTAATGTAGATTTAATGTAGACAATGTAGCTGTGATGGCCAGCCTGAGATAAACTGAGTTCAACTTTTGGAGCACAGCAGCACCACTGCATGTCATGTGACAAGGACCAACCAATCACAGCTGACAGATATCTTTCCCTTCTTCTGTAAATATCAGTCTGTGGTTAATGTGGAGGAGAAGTTGATCATTTTAGTGCAGGGCTACCTGAGCTTTACATCTGTGCCTCGGACAACAGGCCTATGCACAAACAGCGCCTGGACGAAGATCAGCTCTACACTCAGGCTATTATATGCTGCTTGTTGAGGTTGCTTAACAACCTCAGATGCAACCTGCTGCTGTGCTCTTGAAAGCTGGTACACTGTCAGGATATAGTGACAGTTTCATGAATTATCACAAAACTTATTTTGTAAATGTTAAAACTAGCTTTAAAACCCCTGTACACCCATCCACACGGATGTTTTCACTTGTTATGCCTGATTAGACTTCTCCTCAACACTGTGCATGTGTGCATTAGAAAAAGCACAGGTGTTACTAATGACATTAACAATGGCTGTGTTCTATCCAAGTGTCTCTATAAGCCATGACAGTGAGTCAGTAAGCCAGCATGCACAATTCCAGGAACCTGAACTCGAATCAGCTGAATGGATTCCCCACCACTGAGTTTACTACTTTCACCTGTGCTTTTCCCACTGTGACATACACACTGTGACACTGCCACATTGTTTTAAATTGACCTTGAAATGAGTAACATTTGAGTTGCCAGGTTGACAAGATATGGTGTGAATAAAATAAGCAAGTTTATTTTAAATTTTTTCTTTCTTTTTTTTTTAAGGATGAGAAATTGCTAGAGCTTTCTTGGGGGAACATTAAAATGAACAGAAGTCTGAGGAAACTGGGAGAGTTGGTAGGAATGTGAGCTGAAGAGGAAAATAGGCAGAACAGGAACAGATACACTAAAGACACATGAGATCAGGGCAAGGGAATAGGGTGACTCCTTACGTGTAGGCGGTCCAAACAGAACGACATCCAGAGCTTTGATATTGAGCTTCTGTTTGTCTCTCTGGTCCTGTACCCTCAGATAGCCACTCAGGAATGAAGGCTCATTGGCTGCAATCCTGCACACAGATGTCAGAGTTCAGCTTGTTATATCATGACTCTTTACAACAACTGGTTTTACAGTGAACAGCTTGTACAACATCGTACAAGACTTGTGTCTCAAATCAGATACTTCTGTACTTACGCTTGCTATTTTCAGTGCATAAGTGCATTCACACTGAGAATTACCACAAAATGCAGTCAATCAATCAATTCAATCAATTTTATTTATAAAGCCCAATATCACAAATCACAATTTGCCTCACAGGGTTTACAGCATACAACATCCCTCTGTCCTTAGGACCCTCACAGTGGATAAGGAAAAACTCCCCAAAAAAAACCCTTTACTGGGGGAAAAAAACGGTAGAAACCTCAGGAAGAGCAACTGAAGTGGACGGAAGTGCACTATGACTACCTGGATGGTACATTCATAACAATCAAAAAGCTGAGTGTGGAAAATTGGACACTTCTCGCCCTCAATGGTCGCCATATTGCCTACATGGCGCTAGCTAGCTAACAGTTAACAGATTAGCAAGTGGCCCCACCACCTCTCCTAAAGAGGAGCAAGACACAGACTTTGTGGTGGATTTTGCTTCTCTTTGTTGTTGTTTTCTGTCTCTTTGTAGTCGTTATGCATCTTTTGCAGTTTTGTTTCTATTTGAGGTGGTTGTGTTTCTTTTTGAGGTCATTTGGTATCTGTTTCTGGTTATTTTATGTCTCTTTTGGGTCATTTTGTGTCTTTTTTGTTTGTTTTTGTCCCCTTGTGATCATCTTGTGTCCCTTTGTGGTCATTTTGTATCTGTTTATAGTAATTTTGTGTCTGTTTTTTATTATTTTGGGTATCTTTAAGGTCATTTCTGTTATTTTTGTCTCTTTGTAGTCATTTCGCATATCTTTGAGGTCCTTTTGTGTCTTTTATAGCTGTTTTTTCAACCTATATTCATTTTGTATCACCTTGGTCATATTGTAGTAATTTTGTGTCTTCTGTAGATCATTTTTTGTCTTTTTTGGTCATTGTGTCCCTTTGTGGTCATTAAACAATTTGCAGTAATTTGTTTGTAGTCATTCAGCATATCGTTGAGGTCACTTTGTGTCTTTTATGGATGTTTTTGTCTCTGTGGTCATTTTTGTGTTTTATGGTTATTTATGCCCCTTTTAATTGTTACTTTATTTCTCACTGTAGTTCTTTTGCATCTCCTTGTTGACTTCTTGACTCCCTTCTTGATCTGTACCTGTTAATTTAAGAGACATTTTGCAGGTAAAGACACTTTGGTCCCCTGGGCCTGGTCCTAGTAGGTCCATTCAGTAATCCATCCATGGCTGCACATGTCCACAGTGACATTACATGTGTTGTGGCGTAAGCTATATGATCTATGAGTGTAGGTTACATTTATGTTTGGCTGCAATTTGCCAAGCAGAGGGAAAGCCAACAAATTTTGCAATCATCATTTCCGGTAACTGCACACCAGCCATGCTTGATTTAAGACAACACCACTCTGTCAACATTTTGCACTACACAAGTAAGTACATAGTGTATGCAGTGTACCACATACTAACAGGAGTATCAGATTTGAGACACAGCATCAGTCTCAGAGGACTATAGCATTGTCATTGGATATCCTCACCGAGGGAGTGTGTTTCCATTGACTTTAAAGTCCTTAAAGTTCCTTTCATACTGGGGCAACTCAACAAAATCCTTCAGCCAGCGAAGCACGTCATCCTGAGTCCAATTATGCACTGAGTGAGACAAGGAAAGATGACATAGTGAGACAAAATCGAGCTGAACATTTTTGGACACACTCCCCCTCTCTCTCTCTTACACACACACACACACACACACACACACACCTTCAGACGATTTCCAGCCCTTCCAGAGCTCCTCAACTGTGATGTGTTGGTCTTCTCTGTGCAGGTGGCTGTGTTTGTTGGTCTGCTGCTGCTTCATGTCCTCAATGATGAACTACAAAGGACATGAAAATAAAGACTTTTTTAATCAGATGCAACCTTAAAGAGCAAGGTTAGAGGTCACAGAGCACATACCATAAGCTGAGCGCAAAGCACTCTGTCCAGAATAAGTTAGTTGAGTGTTGCACTGAGTTGTGTACTTGGATTTCAATCTAGGAATAAGGAGTGGGTGTTTTGGGACTGTATTTATTTAGAATACATGCAGAAGCATTGCGTGTGTTGCACACCAATGTGTGTGCGTGTGTGTGTGTGTGTGTGTGGGTGTGTGTGCTGTCTTGGAATGTGTCCTTGGCCGTAAACGGAGGCTTCATATGATGGCTAGAGGAATCTTGGGGCTGTGCTCTCATGAGCCCGGCCCCCCCTCCCCGGCATCTCTATGGCAACTGCAACCCGAGCCCCCGGATACTGTATCCCTAAACTGCATTCTGGAGGGCAATGGCATGCTAGAATTCTGGATTTACTACCAATGTGACATACAACTAGAGACTCACACACTCCTTGGGCAAAATACTTATTCACTGTAGACATCATTGCATTATCAACAACAACAAAAAAACAAAATCACAAAGCATGCACTCGCATCTGCACAAACAAGCTTTTACATGCAGTAAATATGCCGTTAAACACACGCACTGAGCTACATGCAGAGATGAATGACTAATCACTTGTTAACAGGACTGAATAAAAAATCTGTTTTGTTTTTGGCTCATTTATAAAACGTTTCTGTGGACAAAAAATGCTCCAGAGGTACAAAAAGCAATAGATAAATATATAACAAACTGGCTGAAGGATAAGGAAAGCTGGAGTAAGGAAACATTAAGAGGAGTTATACTGAGTCTGACCATGAAGGTCACCAGTCTGCAGTATTCTATTAGTGCAAACTGATTTTGTCACTGAGCCAAAAGCAAAGTTATACTGTTGCTATCCTTGAAGTAGCATTTGACTCTTCCACCAGCCAGGACACCTGTTGTTGTACAGCTTTACCCTGTCTTCCTCTTACAAGATCATACATGCACAGGGATTTACAACAGTTAAGGAAATGGGGTAAACACTTTACAAAGAGTGAGTTTTGTACCTCCACACTCTCCTCCACCTCAATCCCTCCATCTTGGTCATCGTCCATCATCTGATGGATGCTCCGCAGGGCCTCCAGGCTGTAGCGATCCGCCTCGCTAATACATGGTGGATACACCACCATGCAGAGGTCTACATCAGGAAGGCAATGACATTACAACAATCATTATTTCACTCAACACGAGATATAAAGAAAAACATCAGATTTTTTCAGTACCGGGTAACTGTGGTTAAGACAATTATACTCAAGGAATCGCTCCATTCATTCTTCTCTAAGTCTCATTTTTTTGTTTATCCAAAGTTTCAACAAAAACATAAAATCAATGGCCATGGTTCCTTTTAAAATACAAAGTTTGGACCAGACGTTATGAAGGACACATATAAACAACAATGTCCAGTTTGATTTTGGACATTCACTGCATGATATAATTATTCATTCATTCATTTTCCATGACGGCTTATCCTGTTGGGGGGTTGCGAAGAGGCTGGAGCTTATCCCAGCTGACATTAGATGAGAGGCAGGGTACACCCTGGACAAGTCGCCTGACTATGACACATAGAGACAGACAACTAGGCATGGTCAAATTCACACCTATGGGCAATTTAGAGTCACCAATTAACCTGCATGTCTTTGGACTGTGGGAGGAAGCCGGAGTACCCGGAGAAAACCCACGCTGACATGGGGAAAACATGCAAGCTCCGCACATAAGGGCTCCCCAACTCTGGGATCGAAGCATTAACCCTTTTGCTGTGAGGCAACAATGCTAACCACTGCACCACCGTGCCACCAATGATATAAAAATATTTGTATTGAAAACACAACTAGTTCTGTCTGTACTGTATTAGGTAAACATGTATAAGGGGATCATTAAGGGAATTGTTACAGTTCTGGCGCTTTTTGTTTTCTTTTCAAGATTAGCATCATATCACAACCAAACATCCAGTAAGTCTGCACCAGCAGTGGCACTGCCAAGGAGTGGCCAGGGGGGCCCAGGGCCACCCTGATATAATTGATGACCTCCCCCACCCTCCTCACAAAAATAATAAAAAATAACTGAAGGCCTTTGTATGGTGTTTTTAAACTTCAGTAGGCTTGTTCCCAGAAAACGTTGTGTTCCTTACAATCAATGAACTCCATCAAATTAAAGCTGTACATTTGTCTTTTTAAAGAAAATGGCAACCAGCCTATTTGAATAAGAATGAATCACCTAACACAGGTAAACACATTAAAACACAATTGTTGTGGAACTCCAAATGTTACCTGTACTGGTATTAGTCTGTGCACATCAGATAATTAATAACATTAATTGTAAAATAAGAAAACAAAGTATATCAGTATGCATTTCCCCAACTCTCCATGTATACACACCTAAACACCATGATGGAATTCCTGAAATTAGAGTTATGGCGTTTGGTTCTCATTGGCACTATCTGGCCACCGCTATGACAAATTTCTGCCACTGGTTAACAGAGCTGAGAATTAATAGTAGGCCGATACCACTGAACCAAGAGTTTGGTCAAATTGCTGTTTGCACATGTGTTCATAGATAGAGTTTCAGTCTCAACAAAATGTAAATGACAAAACATTTTGCCAGTGACAACACAACAAAATCATGTTTGCTATGTTTAGAATAGCTTCCAGGGGTTTGAAGACAGTATGTTCAGACAGTATGTACTTGGTCACATGCCAACGGAGATTTGCTAGAAAATCCGTCATCAGGGTGAAAACAACTGTTGTTATTAGACTTTAAATTGTACAGTGTGTCCGAAGCTTAAAGGAACACTAATACAGAAGAAGATGAGACACAGCTTTCCGTCATCACCGCCATACTGAGTCAGAGCCCATTTTTGTCTCTGTGACTGTGTGTTTTGATGCTCAAAGGAGCAGAGGGGACTGGGAGGAGGGGGGTCAGGGTCAAAGGTCTGCTAGTTAAACCCACTATCAAAGCCAGCTCCAGTAACATTAGCCACTCCCCACCCACAATGTAAGGAAAAATAAAGCTATGGGAAGAAGTGTCGTCTGGGGAAAAAAAAATTCTCAGAGTTCTGACGTTATTCTCAGAACATTATTGCAAAAATATTGGCATTAATCTCAGAAGCAAATCCTCTTGCCACCAGCCCAAATATCAGCACAGGACCAAGGAGTATGCTAATTCAAGATGATGCTGTGGCATGAACCACTTGACTGCAAAGGTTTCTAAAAATGCAGAAAGAACACTAAGTGAATATAAGAGAGGGGACAAAATGGCTCAAATGATTCATTGTTTCATGACAGATGGGAGAGGCTCCTTTCAAGACAATTATTTTGCATGTCAATAAATAGTTAAAATCCTTGACAATTTCCTGATTCACTAGAAATTGTCAGTATTTCAAAATGGAGACCTTTGAGAGAAACTATCTGTCATCCATGCAATGATCCGTGTGCTTCTGCTCATTCCCAAAGAGTTTACACACCAGTGCACAGAGCAAAGACAGTGATCTCCTGGTTGTTGATGAAACTTGCATTTCTCAACAGTGAGGAAACCTCTCAGCTAGGTGGGCTATCGAATATCAATGGTGTATGCAAAGGCCCTCTCAAATGCATGTGTGTATGTCTTATCTGTGTCCCTGTGGGACCTCCACATGACCTGAGTTCAACCACAGGTGAGCTAAAGCTGTTGGCGTCCATGGCACTGGACTGGAGCCCAAAAGCAGCCAGATTAACTATGTTGACGTGGCACTGTTTTGACATTACGCTCTTCAAATACTGAAAAAGTCTTGGAAGATTGTGTTAATATAGTGAGAAAGAAAAGATCATTGTTTCCTTTGTGTTTTGGGCAGCATTGGCAAGACTGACAAAGACAAAAAACACATTTTACCAGTAGCTGTTCAGATAATGTGAAGTGTTCTTCAAGATGTGACTGTAAAAAAGCAGTAGTTTAAAATGAGGCGGGTCACTGTATCATTCAGTGTCACCAAAATGCACATGGCCTTAAAAACAATGTAATTCTGTCCATTTAAATAAATAAATAAATAAATACATGTTCATGAACTTAAGGCACCCCTAAAGTCCCCAAACGTGATCATTTTTAATCTTGTGGGGAAAAGATAACTTGTTCCCACAAGATAATTCAAATGTTTCTACGTGATAATGAACTTGTTCCTCCAAGAAAATTACTTGCTCCCAAAAAATAATTAACTTGTTCCCACAAGATAATAACTTATTCCTACAATTAATTAACTTGTTCCCACAAGATAATCCCTTTCTACACACAAAATAATTAACTTGTTCCCGCCTTGTTCCTACAAGATAATTATCTTATATGCAAAAGATAATTAACTTATTTCCACAACATAACTTGTTCCCCCAAGATAACTACTTTGCACACACAAGATAATTATCTTGCCCCTACAAGACAAGAACTAGTTCCCACAAGATATTTATTTTGTACACACAAGATAATTACCTTGTTACCATAAAATGATTTAACTTGTTACCACAAGATATTTACAAGATAATTAACTTGTTCCCACAAGATAATTACTTTGTATGCACAGGATAATTACCTTGTTCCCATAAAATGATTTAAAATGTTCCCACAAGATATTTACAAGATAATTAACTTGTTACTGCAAGATATTTATTTTGTACACATAAGATAATTACCTTGTTCCCACAAAATGATTTAACTTGTTCCCACAAGATAATTACTTTGTATGCACAAGGTAATTACCTTGTTCCCACAAAATGATTTAACATGTTCCCACAATATAGTTTCAAGATAATTAACTTGTTCCCACAAGATAATTACTTTGTATGCACAGGATAATTACCTTGTTCCCATAAAATGATTTAACATGTTCCCACAAGATATTTACAAGATAATTAACTTGTTCCCGCAAGATATTTATTTTGTACACACAAGATAATTACCTTGTTCCCACAAAATGATTTAACTTGTTCCCGCAAGATAATTACTTTGTATGCACAAGGTAATTACCTTGTTCCCATAAAATGATTTAACTTGTTCTTACAAGATATTTACAAGATAATGACTTTGTATGCACAAGATAATTAAGATGTTCCCACAAGACAATTACTTTGTACACACAAGATAATTAACTTGTTCCCACAGAATGATTTAACTTGTTCCCGCAAGATAATTACTTTGTATGCACAAGGTAATTACCTTGTTCCCATAAAATAATTTAACTTGTTCCCACAAGATATTTACAAGATAATGACTTTGTATGCACAAGGTAATTAACTTGTTCCTATAAGATAGTTACCTTGTGTGCAAAGGTAGGTATTTTGTTCCTGCAAGATAATAACTTTTTCACACTAAATAATTATATTGTTCCTACAAGATAATTAACTTGTGCTCACAATACTAAAAAAAAGAAACTCCTTTCGGGGCTCCGTAGAAACGCCAGTCATCACAACTTGTGCAAATAAAATATAAAGTTTGTATTTTTTCATCATCAGACGGCAAGTTTAAAAAAAGAATCAATCACACGACAAATGCATTTGGAAACAGATGCATGACCGTCTGTCATTGTGAGCAGTGCCAGTGCGCACACGAGATTGATGTCGTGCCTATAATAATTGCCCATTACTGGCGATGACAGGGCAGCTCTGGTGCGATGCAATGGCTTTGTCAAGCACAAGGGTGACAACTGACAGCTTTCCTATTTGATTCAGTGTCTCTTGTGTAGTACCTGCGGGGTCGAAACCTGCGCTCCCAGCGTGGAACGTGAAACCGTGGAGGTCTCCGGCGCCTTGCGCGGCCACAAAGAGCGCAGCGGGGAAAACGAGGAGAAACAGAGGGGCCAGAGGCAGCATTTCAAATGGTAGATTATATTGCCGTCCACAGTTGAGAAACACTTCAAAATATATGGAGAAAGAAAACACAAGGTGCCCAACCCCCGTTTAGGAGGCACCGCAGCCGGTCTGCGAAAAGTATAAAGCAATCTGTGTTGCTATCACAAGTACAGCCAGGAGCGAGATGTGATACTGATGGTTGAGTTGAGGAATCAGGCGAGCTGGATAATAATTGAAAGCGCACAAAAAGTTCCAACGCACTTAAGAAAGTTTCACCCAAACACAAGAGGGCTGTGCGTAAAAATACCCCAAAGGAGAGCAATGGTACTCCGAAAAAAACTGAAAGATAATGCTTTTATAATTCCATACTTGGTCTAATAAAAAGTTGAGATAAACAAGTCCTGAAGTTCATCCATCATTAGATCCATTGTGAAAAAAACATCTCAGGGACCAATTTTAAGGGCGCATTAAAAAACACTTTTTAAAGGCTAAATGTTGTTAAAATAGGACGACAAAGTGCGCCTATAATCCTGCTCAGGGTGCAGACTGCTTCTCTGTTCTTGGTGTCCAGCTGGAGGCTGTTTGGTCTCTTTATGCGCCAGATAATCGCACTTGTCTGGCTCTCCTCTGTCACTCCTTTTCCAAAAGAGACGTCGAGATGTGACGTTCTTACGCGGAACTGACAGCCTCTCCCCTCATTCCCCCTGACCCTCTCTCTGCATCTCTAGCAACAGGGCCCCTGACACTTCATTATGTTTCCCAACCCACCCCCCAGCCCCCCAACCCAGCACACAGAGCTGCAGCGGTGATCCAGTGACCTCAATATGCAGGTTTTGGACAGGCCAGCAGAACTGAGCTTACAATCCATCATGCTGATGCGTAAAACCAACGCAACAGTCGCTCCCACTGGGTGATTTTTGTCTTTTCTGTTGTTTTTTTATGTTCACTTATCTACTGGCTGTAGGATCAATAATAGCCCTCTCAGACCTCACTATGGGAAGTGAGATCAAGACTATCATACCAGGAATAGTGTGTCATATGTCACGTCATGGCCAGGCTGTCTGGGTCTGACAGTTGTATCCTTGTTCACAGGGCCTCAAGCTATGCGAATGGACTTAGTAAATGTTTGTGCACCTGTTAGTGAGGTTTTTGATGGCGTCTATACATGGCTTACCATTTCTTAAACACACTCAGACGCACACACTCTTCAAACTAAAATTGTTACTATCAACATCAAGAGTGTGAGGGACATAAACAGTCCACAGGGCTACACACACTTAAACAGTAACAAAGTGTCAGGTTTCATTCTAACTACTCAGCTCCCAGTTTAAAAATAGTGGGGCTGCTTTGACCCCTACCCTGTGGAGCATGCCAAAGTGGCACATGCCCAGTACGGCCTCTGCAGGAACTGAGTGTAGAGTACGAATGCATTTTTTATCACTGCATCTATGCGTAGTCCTATAGCTCCCACTCAGCTCATTGATGATGGTGAGACAAAGGAGGACAACAGCAAAAACAAACCAACACAAAAACTGATTGAAATACTCTTACAGCCACCAAAACACTTTCACGAGTGACATTCAGCTTCAGCTTGTTTTTATTCATGACTGTTCACTGAAGAACCTTGGTGGATTGTTTTAGTAATACACTAGACTGAAAAGACGGAGGGATGTCATCATATCGGGAGAGAGCAGTGGCAAACAACATTAGGGCTATGAGAGTAAAGACACTTTAATGCCAGAGCCATTAAAATGCTCAAAAAGCTGCCAGTATGATGATGACAAGCTGCGGTCAATTTAGCACGCTCGCTCACAGTTGACGTTATGACAGTACTTACATCACACCTGGCCTAGTAGATACTGTGTAGAACAGTGTGACCTGGGCAGTGCAGTGACCAACAATCAATAATTTGGATTGAATCAGTTGTGACCCCAAATGCCCCAGAACCAGACTGCTACTATGCTTTAGTGATACTTACATCCTTTAGCAAACTGCTGTGACCGACTTGATATAAAACACTTCATCAAATCAAGAGATTAAGCATCAAAGTGTCTGCTGAGATCACAAAAAATTAAATGATGGAGACAGGACTGCTCAGATGGGACTCAATGGTGCCTCAAAGCAGCCCAGGTGCCACAGGAAGTCGCCATGTTGTCATTGTAGGTTTCTGCAAACCACAAAAACATTACATTTGCACGTTTCATACAGATCAATATCATTTTTAAAGTGATGTAAAACATAAGCTGACTCTGTCATGTAGTGGTGGAGGGTGGTGGATGGGGTGCAGACCACTCCTCAAGACAAACAACAAAAACAGATGGATTTTAGCAAGTCTTTGCTGTGTTTTGAGCGACTTTTTAGGCACCAAATGTGGGTGTTTTGCTGCCATGAAAAGCGAATATTTTTTGCTGGGACCTCGCTGCATTTCCTGACAGGATAGTGGCACAAAAAGTGTTTTTTTTTGGCATCTTTGCATTTCCAGCAGGGATTGTACCTCCAAGACCAGGTATTTTAAGCTAAAACATGATCTTTTCTTGACCATAACCTAACCTCAAGTTAACCACAGTGTAAGTGACACATCTGCTAATAACGTGCAAATGTAATCTATCTGTAGTTTGCAGAAACGTACAATGCCAACATTTCTTGTGGTAATTGTGTTGCACAAAGAGGTGTCTCTGGATTGTTGTAGTTGTTGAGCTACTTCTCAGGCATGCTGAAAACATGCACACAAATTAGGCGATTCACATCATTGTCATGAAAACTAGCAGTAAGCTGGTCAACACATTTACTTGAAACTCAATTTTGAAACATGATACACAGTACAAACAAAAAGACTGATGTAAATGAGGATTATTTGTGAAATATTACACAGGACAAACTGGGTAGTGGTTCTTAAGGCAACAACGTAATTCCTGACTAGTTTAGTAAATGAGTTCAAAGTTACATTTTTATATTAAACCTACTGCATAAGGCAGACGGAGAGGCAGAACAAACTTGGGAGTTTGAATCCGTACATCGTATGGGACCCAAAGCAAAACCACAGCTGATTGTATCAAAATAAGTTGGACTGTATTTGGAGTCAGATCACACATTTGACAAAACCAGGTTCAACAAGGCTCAATCCCAGCGTGACGTTGCTGAGTTTACTGAGTGTACTTGGACTATGAGAACACAGCTACAGGCTACAAGGCTACAAGGCTACAAGGCAGAGACGACGTTAAAGCTCTTCTTTCAACACATAAGCACAAACACAAAAGAAAACTTAAGGCCCCTCCAAAAAGGCTGAGCAATGTGCACAGAATGACTAGACAGGTATTAGTTTTGACCTTCCTTCTATGTTTCTTAGCCTTATAGTAATTTACATAAATTATAATTTTGTGTAAAGGCTTCACCACTGTGAAATAAGAAGCACTGCAGCTATGGTAAAAAAGGGACTGTTTAGATTTGAGTTTAAACACTCTGGTACAAACATGATTAGAAAGCACAGACCTTGGTCTCCCAGAATACACTGGTAGCATATTACAAAGTATCCCAAACATACACTTCATTCATCAAATATGTCATCTTTGATATAAAAAGTTGGGGAAAGTTTCAGGGACTGATCAGTTAAGCCCAGTGACCTAGAGGATTGAAACAAAACTCAAAAAGGAGTCAAAAACAAGACAAATTCTATTTGGTAACAAAAGTGATATTGTGATATTACTATGCAGTATCATAAAAAAATGTACCTCGGCAAAAGCTTATAAAATATAATATGAATAAAATAATATAATAATATTCCTTGGTCCGTAAAAACTATGTTACTCTTAGAACAAAAATTTCCCTTGCACACGACAGATGAATCAACAAGCTTTTCAGTAAAAACATGATCTCAGTAGAAAGAGAGCAAAGTGAGAATCACTTCCAAATCCACAGGCATATAAAAACAAGATGCTTCTTGTACAGATCAGGTTGTTGTGAGAGACAGATGGCAGATTCTTCATCTTTAAGGTGAACTTCTTGAATATCAAGATCCTTTGAGTAGAGCTTTTGACATGTCCCCAACAAACCAGAAGAGGGAGCTAAAGAATAGTTTCTGTTTTCCCAAGTATTCTCTTCAAGCTTGTCTTCATCCCAACTCTCTTCAGCATTCCTGACGATCACAGTTGATCTTTGACGAAGAGTTTCGGAGTCTGTGTGCAATTCTTCACAGGTCCATGAGCCTCTTTGGCTCACAAGTACATGCACATATTTTCTCACTCACTCATTCAAAACACACAAACAGAATAAGTATTACTATGAGAGCACCGACATGGTCGACGCCCCTGACGACATGCCCGAGTCACTGCTGCTGTAAGCGCCGTGGCCGTCCCCGAGCCCCCCCAACGAGGATGATGGTGAAGACGAGGATGCTGGTGATGAAGAAGAGGTGCTATGTGTCCGCAGGATGGCGCCAGCAGCACTGCAGTGGGGTCGGGGCCCCGGTTCAGGGGTGTAGGTGAAGGTGAGGGCGGTGGCGTAGATGACTCCATCATTGCGGACGAGCGTGACAGGAACCTGAACCGGCTGTCTCACCCAGCGCCAGCCCTCCCTGAAGGCGGAAATGTCCGGCACCACACACAGGACGCTCTCCCCACATCTGAGCGGACAGACGGATGAGACGAGGTTTATTTGAGTCATTACACAATCATGTTCACACACAGATATAAACAAACACTCACCTGTACATGGTGTCAGCCTCCACATCTCCGAACCACACTCTGAGGTTGGGGGTGAAGTTCTGTCCAGTCAGCTCTAACATAGCTACATCTCCTCCACCATTTAACTAGACACATGAATACAGAAAAGGTTGTTTGTCTTTAAAAAGTCCCTACAGGGATGAATAACATCTAAAAGAGGAAGCAGTTGGTAACCCGAATGACACTGATAAAACGCATAACAAGCATATTTTCAACAGACAGGGCTGCATGCATACCTGCAGACTTTCCACCACAGGGACAGGCGTGACCGGTGTTGGGACGGGGCCCATTCCCTCATAAAAGGTGTACTCCGCCTTGTCAGTGCTAATGATAGTCCAGGAAGCCCCATCGTTAACAATCTCCTTGTTACTTTCTTTGGAGCACTGTGTGGCCTTTAGAAAAAGAAAAAAAACAACAACATAGAGATAAATTTCACTTCCCACTTTTATATCTAACAAGGGGAAAAACACACTTGAGCAAGATACCATAATGTCAGGGAGGAGCTTGGCAAAGACAAGGATTAGACAGGAAAATGAGACTCTTCTCTTGCCCTGGAATGCTCATTAAAACAAATGGTGAGACCTGTGTGGGTACTAATTTCACAACACACACCTGCTGTGGGCAGACAGGTTAATATTCTGCCGTCTGCAGGCAGAAAACAGCAGCAATATCCCAACTCATGATAACAGTTTTTGAAAAAGGTGAGAGCGCGTGCTAATGCTCTATAACTTGGACAAAGTGTTGCGTGACCGTCCATCATTTTGCCCTATGGAAGAAGACATGTTGGATTCTGAAGACAGTGATATTTCAGTGGTATCGACATAAACACTAACATGACTGGCAAGCATGATAGCTAGAGTGTGTATGTAATATATCTTTGATTCTCTAGTGTAAGTGACACAGGCAGTAACGAAATGTGAGCACAGGTGGTCAGCTGGTGAGGCATGATAGACACAGGTGTGGATGGTGATGTGTCTCAGCTGTC